GACAAGGAGAAACTAGACCTCGCTGAAGAGACAGCAATTTTTGTGAGACAGCAAAAGGGACACTAAAGATGCATGCACGACGTGCAATTTAAACCCTATTCCAATGTTTAACTTTCCTTTCAGGGAAAAACAATCGTATCATGTGTAAACTGTGGAACTGACAAGCAAAGTCATGCTGGTTAATTAGAGACTCCAGAATCCTTCAAAGAAAAAGAAGTAGATTGCGAACAGCCTGCTGATATTTACCAACCCAACTGGTCTATGACACGTTAAACAATAAGAAAGAGAGGGAACAGCTCTCACACTGCTGAGTCTAGCTTTCTGTGGACACAGCTCTAGCTCACTACTCTGGAGACAATCTGTGTCCGGTTTCTTTATAATGCATTTTAAGCAGAGTGAATATCAGTGTACACAGTTAATGTATGCTGATATGCATCTGCACGTGCTCAGCATAAAGAAGGCAAGCCATTTAGGTCCACTAATGTTTTGGCTTTGAATATTTATCATTTAAAAATAGTATAAGAGAAATCTAAAATAAGGAAAACTGTATCTTAGTTGTGGTGTATTTTGACTTTTCAGTAAAGCAGATTCCTTAAGAGAAAAGCATGCATGCAGCATGTGTGCTGAATGAACAGCATATTTCTGCAGTGCTGCAGTGCCCTGTGCTAGGGAGGAGGGAGTGGTTTTTCCCGCGCAGGTGAAGCAAGATTTTGATGCTCACAGGAGCTAAAGTCTCAGGCGTGGTGCTGCTGGACAGACCTTCTGTCACTGATATTGAGTATGAGGTGAGCGTGTAGGCAGGGGAATATGCGTGGGTGAAAAGCATACCCTCTGACTTTAACACACACATACACACATTTACTCCTACAAATGTCCATCCACAACCTTGCCCACGCTCCTGAAAAGAGAAAACAAATGTAGCTGCTTGGGCGAATCCTATGACACATCCAGACCACCCACATCTCAGAGAAAGCTTCAACAGAAAATAAAAGATAAAAAAAATTTAATCAAACATTTTGAAACAAACGGCATTTACATAATCTATTTCCCTCCTTTCTTTTCAGTGTCTGACCTACTGTTTCTTTAATCTTCCACGACCAGTCCTCCACCCATGAGACAAAAAGCAGGCATTCATTCAGGTCCCAGCATGCCCTTGACCTGACCAAACATGGCTGGTGCAGCCTGAAAAGGATACCTTATTCAACTTGCCCAAATGTTCTTTATCTTTTTTTTTTTTTTTTACCATTTTCCCTGATTCCTCTGAATTATCCATCCCCTTTAAAAAAAGAATTCACAGAGGTTTAGCATTTAGACACATTAGTCTACCATTTATTTTCACAATCAGAGCCAGCCTGATGTGTAGCAACTTTAGGTAAAGCTGCTTAGGAACAGGCAGGCCAATAAGACCCTCCAATCTTAAAAAAATCAGATTTGGAGTTATAAATCAAGAATGAACCAATTTTGTTCTAAATGTTCCTAAAATTCAGATTAGTGTTATTTAAATCATTGTGAATTGCTAATTAAAGTGTATCTAGGATTAAAAAACACATACATGGCAGTTGGAAGCCTCTTTCTCACTGTCCCTCGGGATCCCTCTCACCAGAGCTGCACCATGTTTAGCGACTGTAAGCAGAGTTGTTTCGGCTTGTTAGATCAAACATGGCTAGTGCAGTGTGTTGATGTCCATACTTTGCTTTCAATAGTGTCACATTATTTAGTGGATCAACCCTGGTCTGTTGTTCCTACTGCATGCCGATCAGAGCCGAGGCGATTTTAACTTGGGTCGCTTGCCGAGTCGTTTGACCTGGGTAGACACGCGTCAGTGAGCTGTTTCCAGTGCCACTGTTCTCGCTGCCACTAAATACCGATTGTTCCCTGGTTTTTCAGCCGGTTGGAAAGTGGTGATACAGTAGAACATGCAAATACACTAATCAGGCTTTTGATGTAGTGACAATTTCTGATTTTCTTAAAAAGATCTGGTATTGTAATTTGTAATGGCATTTTTTTTTAAATACGTAGACTGGAATCCAACAAAACACCCTTTTTACCCCTTTACATTTTTTCTTCTTACCATTTTTTCAAAATTTTTTATGTTTATAAAAACCGAAAATATGCATCAAAGGTCATGCTTTGTTATGCATTTAAAAACGGAATACGGTAAGAATTTTTAGCTTTGACGGATATAATAAAAAGGAGAAGATAAATTAGATATTTCTTTTTTTTTTGACACAAAGACCCCCAACCAGACACAGTTAAATGTATAGGACAATCTTTTATTTCCGGGTGCATCATCAAAATAAGTGGTCCTCCTAATTGTTAATCATTCTGGTGATACGTTTTCATAAGGCGATACTATGTGCTCGTCCTGTTAGCTATCTTTTTCTGTGCATGCACACTTTCAGGCGTATATGTGTGGTTAGCTATGGTTTTAGCCAGTTATTGAAACACACCTTTCTCACTGCAGTTCTTTAAAAATGGCCGAGGTTTATAAGAGAAAAGGTGTCTACGAAGTGTATAAGAAGAAAACAAAGGCCTCAGAAGAGGCAGATATATCCCGGAATGCTTTGCGGGGCGAGCTCTTCGTGCAAAGCATTATGGGATATGCTATCACAGCGGACCGCTTTCTACATACAGTTGGCTGTCGCTAACTAATAACAAAGATGGTTCAGGCACTGTGCAATGGAGGAGGAGTTACATGACCAACCGGGAGTAAAAAGTAGTGATCATCTGTACGAAAGGTAAGTTAACTGAGTTTGCTATAGACCACTATATAGTCCAATATAGTGATTGAGGGATTTAGGGGTTAGGATGGATGTTCGGACACAGTAAGCTTGTATGAGCTATGAGAACAGCAACTTTTAAACACAGCATACACAAGGAGAAATGGGTTTGTGCATGCTCTCGCATGGATGCAGGGTTGTGATTGCGGGTCTTTTAAAAAATTTGCGAAAATCCTCCACAATACCGTTGAGGGAATGTACAAATACATTAGAAATACATACATCAAACCTCTGTCTAATTGAGCGTTTGACCATAAATAAAAATACTGTACTTCTTATTTGATGGGTATGTTGACAGTTATTCCCAAGTATTATGACATACACCATATTTTATGGTGTATGTCATATACACCATATTTTATGGTGTATGTCAGTGCAGGAGACGTTGTATGTACGTATTATTGTCAGTGGTTTCTTGTAACCAATTCGTTTTTTAGAGTCAAATAACCCTGGCTAATTAATCTTGTATAATCCTTACAGACTAAACTAAGCTTTCTTTAAGACCCTATGCACTGTGAGTGAATGGCTATGTATGTATTTACAGCTTTTTGTACAATAAGCAGTATGAAGTGACTGAAATGGCAAACCCAAAATCCTGTTACATAGTCCCTTAAGTTTTGCTTCACTAAAGCAGCACACAGGTTCTTTAAAGCATCCGAGACAGCAACAACAACAACAGCAAATCTTGGGCAAGCTCTGATCACAACAGTAGCTATCAAACAACACCTGCTACATGAGAACCTTTGTAAAATACCCATTTCAAAGGTTAAACACTGATGCCAGCTCTGATAAAACATTATTGTTTCCTCTTTGTCTGAAAGTAAAACAGCAGACATGGAGAAATTGTATTTATATTTTAGATAAATCTCTTTTTACCCCCTAAAGGCTCTGTGATATCTGCTCATCTGGCCCGCAGCACCACGCTGCCAAACTCTGAGCAAACACATGACTCAAATTCGTCTAAGTCTTGCCGCAAGGAGGCAATAAAACAGAAAAAGATCCTTTTGTCAACATCAGAATTCAATTTTAGGGCTGCATCTAAGCCTGCAAGAAAATCATCAGTCGTCACATTAAAAATGTTTTTCCTTTTTTTTTCTTCTGTAGCTCATTATCAACCTCTAAATCTCATTTAGTTTGCAGGGAAAAAAAACAACCCAAAAAACAGATGCTTTGCTTCACCTGAGAAAAAAGAATGTGTTAAATATGACTGCTACTGCATCAGTATTACGCTGCAGATACACATACACATACAAGGCTATTTTTTGGCAACAGGACAGTGATGTAAACAGTTAACAATAAATGAGCTGATCAGTGTAAGATGATCAGTGTCAGAGGTAGAGGTTCTAATCTTCACAGACATAGCCATTTTACATTGCTATTGATCTTTGTAGTGAGGAACACAGCATGACATCGATCTTCACACTGAAGGGATAAAAATCTCTGTGTTCATCAGGGGCCTGACACAGCTGCGAGACACACACTTACAAATACATCTAATGTCTAAAATGTGTGCATTTAACTGTGCATGTAGAAACAAACAAAATAGGTACACAAACTGTGTCAAAGATATATTAATCAATGTGGAAGGACACAAATTGACTTTTTTATTCAGCTTGCCTGCTTCCTGTCTACCTCTCTGTCTCTTTATCTGAATATAGATAAAAAAAGGCTGCAGGGTATCACTGTCAGTCCTGTAGTGACATGGATGGGAAAACTAGTACATGAGGCAATACATATTTAGAATCATTCCACTTTTGGTTCATTCATCAAGCTGGGGCAGCAAACGGAAAAGGCATTTTATATACTATTTAATCATTTTAAGGATTTTTACTGATTAATAATTTGCCATGCATATAGTAATTATGTATAGAAATGCATGCATTTTATATTGGAGTAAACTTATGGGAATGAATGATGTTGGTGCCGGTAGACGCAGAGTGATGCAACACCTGTGGATCAAGGTGAATGAATGGCCAGTAAAGAGGACTCCTGTATCTGCTTTAAAAGCACACTAGAGGCATTTCACATTATATGTGCTAAAGGTGTTAAAACACAGCAGCAGCAGAAGCAGCAGAAGCAGCAGCAGCAGCACAGTCAGTCCTCCTGTCCTTCTGCAGGACAGGGCAGAGCAGACAGAGGCTGCGCCTCCATCCTCCATGTAAGCCGAACATGTCCGATCTGCAGCTGCGAGCATCATCTATGACATCACCCCAAACTCACCAAAGTTTGCTGATACTGGAGAGTCCGTTCTTCTGCTTTGCCTTTCACCATTGCAGCAATATCCTCATTAAGAGGCCCAAAATCCGTCTCCAGCTAATTAATCTTCAGAGGAGGAACAGAGAGAGTGGTGGCAGCACGGCTCGCTGCCATCCCATGAGCGGTGTGTGTGTAACAGGTTAGTTATAACCGGGCTGTCTGCATGGTGCAGAGGACTGCTGCCACGGTTTGAGAGACAGATGAGAGATACAGCCGCCTTGCTGCCTCACAGCAGCGATGCGGTTTAACTGCGAAATACCGCCTCTCCCCCTCCTCCCTGCCTCGCTTCCTCCACTGTTCTCTCTCTCTTTCTTTCTGGACCTGCTGTTAGTGGACCTGAGGATGCACAGGTAGCATCCAGGTGTCGTACGTCGGTCCCTAAATATAATATTTTACAGTTGTATTTCTGATCTATACAGCTCTTTTGCTCCTTATTTTACTCACCTCTTGGTTGATAGAAACATTAAGTTGTAAAGGTTGTGGCTTACCTGCAAGTAGGAAGTCAGAAAGAATAAATATGTCTTAGTCTGAGGTCTAGATTTACATTTATTTTCATTCAACCAATGCGTGTATATATTACAAAAACGCATTAAAAACGTTGTAATATCCTGGAATATGTTTCCTTTAGATATAAAAATATCTACACAGTAGAGAGCTAAGAAAAGACTACACAGTAGTTGACTTGGATTATATGACTTGTACTGCAGAGATGTACTGACCTTAAAAATAAGTAAAAAATTACACAGGCTACATAGTAGTTGGCAAGTGTAATTGCACAGGGGGAAAGAATATTGGACAAGAGTGACAATAGGTAATGTTTTGCACAAGATGTCCAAGGAGGGGGGGTGCTGACTCTTGTCCCTCTTCCTATCACCTCCTCCTTCAAGAATAAGAATAATAACAGAATAATAATTTCTGAAAAACAGTCACCTTTGAGACAGGAAACCTCAGATGAACAGACGTAGGAAAAAAGACAGATCAAATGATTTTTTGACTGATAATTTTCTTTTTTTTCTTGTATGGGCATTGACCAATACATGCATATGTTCACCAATTTATTAGTGCATTCAGCAGCCATGCCTTAAGATCACGTGAACTGCATACATTGATGTTCCAGCCATTTAATGGTGTTGTTTTGTTTGATTTATCAATAAATGTTTCTTTTTAGTTTAAATTGAGACATTTAATATTTTTATCATTGTGTCATTTATATCATGCAAATGGAGGTTAAAAAAGAAATACCAGTTTCAAGAATTGACCCAAATATATCGGCACCACGTATCGGAGATCGGTCAGAATAAAGTCAAAATAAACAGTTTTGGCATTGGCCTATTAGAAAAACCTGTATCAGTCAAAATCTTTAATAGAGGCATATGCTCTTTCAAGTGTACAAATTGGCTAACATTGCTAAATACAATGGGGTAAAGTTTTAATGGCAGAATAGTGCTCTTTTTGTAAAGGAAATCATGAAAAGCAAAAAGTGTCATTTATACAGTTGAACGGGCCCTTTAAAATGGCCTGTAGTTATATAGTGCTTTTTTTTTCAAGTCAGGAGACTTGACCAAAGCGCTTTACACTACATTCAGTCATTCACACACTGGTGGCAAGCTACATTGTAGCCACAGCTGCCCTGGGGCTCACTGACAGAAGCGAGGCTGCCGTACACACACCCTCTGACCACCATCAGTAGACAATGCAGGTGAAGTGTCTTGTCCAAGGGCACAACGACACTGAAAGTCGGAGCCGGGGCTTGAACCGTCAATCCTTTGATTTCAGGGCAAACTCCTACATCCGACGCCACTGTCGCCCTGATGGTACTGAAGTGGCCCAATATAAAGATCAGTTTGACACCCCTGCTTGACTTGGTTGCTGGGTTTTTTACATGGCTTCTAGAATATCACAAGGTGATTTTATTTGAATAACCTTTGTCATTCTTCTTTTCACTGGTGCACAACTAATAGTTGTCCTGTCAACTAATACCCCTAAGAAGAGTAAGCACTGGTGTTTCTCAATAAATGTTGGAATATTGTTTTATTCCTAACCAAACCCTGAATTAAAATTTTCCACATCATTCCCGACTTTGCTGTGTAACTTGTACTTCTTGGTGCTGATGGTTCAGTTATGTTGCCTAACACATTCTCTGAGGTCTTCTTTACATCAGTCTTGTGACTTGTGGCTGCTCACACTGAGTCTGGTTCTGTTGCAGGTTACTTCCTGTTAAAGTGAGTTTTCCTCTCCACTGTTACTACAAGCATGCTTGGTGTGAGGGATTGCAGAACAGTCAATAAGTCGATGTAATCAGCTGGTTTTCCTTTGAACATTTTGAACCAATCTGACTGTATGATCTGGGTAAATTGTCTCTATAAAGTGCCTGGGATGAAATGTGTTGTGAACTGGCGCTATATAAATAAACTGAAATGAAATGAAAAGTTTCATATGAAGTGACTGGCTTCTTATAATTGGCAAACTTTTCAGATTTGTATAGGTGGATTTCAGTGCTGGCTTAAATACAATCATCCCAGCTCTGCTCTCCCAGCTGAGTGTGCCTGACTCCACCTGAAGGTGGATTACAGACTTCCTGTCTGACAGGAAGCAGCATGTGAAGCTGGGAAAACATGTCTCAGACTAACAGCTCATCAGCACATCAGGGCTTTCTCCTCTGCTCTTCTCCCTGTACACCAACAGCTGCATCTCCATTCATTAGTCTGTCAAGCTTCTGAAGTTTGCGTACGACACCACTCTCATCTGACTTATCTCTGATAGTGACGAGTCTGCCTACAGGTGAGAGGTTGACCATCTGGCAACCTGGTGCAGGGTGAACAACCTGGAGCGCAACGCTCTAAAATCAGTGGAGATGTTTGTGTACTTTAGGCAGAACTCAGCCCCAGCTATCCCCATCACCCTCTGTGACTCCACAATTTACACCGTGGAGTGTTTCCGCTACTTGGGAACTATCATCCCACAGGACCTAAAGTGGGAACTGATCATCAACTCCCTCACCAAGAAAGCCCAGCACAGCTGAAAAAATTCAACCTGCCAAGGACAATGATGGCGCACTTCTACTTCTCCATCATTGAGTCCATCCTCACCTCCTCCATCATCATCTGGTGCCACCGCCAAGGACAAGGGCAGACTGTAGCATGTCATCTGGTCTGCAGAGAAGGTGATTGGCTGCAATCTTCCATCTCTCCAGGATCTGTGCGCCTCCAGGACTCTGAGACATGCAGTAAAGATTGTGGCTGATCCCTCGCACCCCAGCCAAAAACTATTTCAGACAATTCTCTCT